ATTGGATTAGGGTATCCAGTTCTTCAGGTTGACAAGCTACTTCATAAGGTGTTTGGCAGCACCTGAGGTTAAGGTCCGCCCCACACCTTTAGACTGTCCCTTTCCAGCACCTTGGGGATACCTTCTTATGGGTTGTTTACCTGTGGAACTAGTTTCCACAGGCTTCCTTTGGGCAGACTCGGGATTTCTTTGCTTGGGCAAAGGACGGACCTGAGCCTTTGGTTCAGGAGCATTCTGTCTAGCAGCGGAGGCCCCTGTGGATGTGGTGGCCTCTAGAGCCCTGCCTGGTGGTTCCAAAGACCCGACTCTCTGGTGAGTCTTTTGAACAGGCTCAGGATTCCTCTGCCTGTGCAAAGGGCGTACCCGAGCCTTTGCTTCAGGCCAGGGCCAGGGGATTGCGAATGTCGCCAGGGAGAGAGCAAGTTCTTTTTAAATTTGTAGTAATCATACAAATTAGAAATCTTCATTTCCTCACCCCCCCCCCCCCCACCCACCATGGAGTCCAACGAGGGGAAGCTATAGTTGGGGCTCAAATTTTCCCAACAGCCACAGGGGTAGTGAGGAAATATACGCAGTCACTATTACAGTGTTGATGGTAGTCGCGGGACCCATGCGCTACCGACTGTACAGTGCCTGCTTGACCCTAGCCATATTGAACAGCCGATTGACTTGACCGGGCCTTGATCAAGCCACCCGTCTGACCAGAATAGAGGACCAAAGAGGCGTGTTGCTAGCTGCAGGGCGCAGCGTGCAGCATCGCTCAACCTCCAGGACTCCTGTCTCCTGGTAATACGGGACGCCACGCACGGCAGACGCACGTGGGAGAGTTCTCCCTGGTCCAAGATGGAATGAACCAGGGGTGGGTGCACCATCCCCTCTCATAGGCCTTGGTGCACCTGGAAGCCATTTTATCTCATCCCTCACTGGTGACCCCTCCAGTATGGGTAGCCCTCTGGTCCGGCTCACCAGATCATTGGGACCTCAAGCCCCCCCACCGCGGCAGGGCGGCTTCCGTTAGGGGGGTTACATTGACGGAGAGGGACTCTCCCCCAATGTAAACATAAAAGGGAAGGTCATGTTTACTGAAAGCAATTCTGGCAATATTGGTAGGGGCTTTGCCTACTTCAGAATTGGGAAAAGGAATAAATGCTTTTAGCATATTTTTATTATCATAGCATTATTAATTTTTTTGCAAACGCCTTTGGTGATCTGATCAATCTGCAGATTCTGTTTCTACGGTGTATGGTTAATTCAGCGAATCGGAAAGTTTTCAGCACTGATTTTCCTTTATCTACCAAGGTTCATCCTAAATCCCGCTATCCTTACTTTTTAATTTGTTTATATAATTTTAATATTTTTTCCCACTCCATTAACTTCAATGAAGCTTGGTTATAGAAAGGGCACGCATCTGAAAGTATTGCAGTGTACCTCTACCTTGCAACAAGATTACAACGCTAAGAAATATTAAACGTAAACAATACAGTAAAAAATAAAAGAACGAAATAATCCAAGGATAAAACGAAACGAAAATATTCAAGAAAAAACGGAAATCCCTCAGTCTGTATATTCTCAAAACTTACAATGCATATAACACATCCTAAATGGCCTCTTGTAACTGATGAAAATATACCTCTCTCTCGTAGGCTCGAGAAAAAAAACAAGGAGGCGTCCAGTGAAGCCGGGCGCTCCATGAACCACTGATCAGACGGGCAAACAACCCAAGAACGAGTTTGGCGGCAAAACTATGGTTTTTATCTCTTCGTGTATTGCTGTAAAACTGTTTTGGATAAAATAAATTAAAAT